GTTCCAGGGAGAAAGAGTAGATCTGGATAGAAGTATGCTCAAGTTATCTACATAGAGATGATCATTGAATCCATGGGAGCTAATGATATTATCAAGAGATAGGGTATAAAAAGAGGAGAAAACGAACCTAGGATAAAGCTGTGGGTAATACTCATGATTAGGAGGTGATGATGGAGGTGATAATTAGGAGGATTAGCTGATGATCCAACATAGAAGCCTGAGAATCGGCAGTCAAATCAGTATGAAGAAAAACAAGAAAAGAGCAAGCAGGGTGATAGAATCTAAGGGTATCCAAGTGGGTGCTCAATGGTGTCAGCAACTATAATCAAGAAGGATGAGGACTGAGAAAAGTCGAATTTATCAATTCAAAGAGAAGTGAGCCAGATCTGGACTCAAGAGAGAGCTAGCCTTAGCAACTGAGAGCAGGAATATGGAGAGGACTCTATAAGGAGAGAAAGACACCAAGGACTGGCAATACTGGAGTTATAAGTTGTCTTGGCCACATATGTTCCCTACAGATATGTTTTGCTACAATTGTGCTCTTAGTTTGTGCCCATTCTTCCCACAGATGCTTTTTTTGGTATCTGTAGAAGAATATGCCCCAGATTTATTGGGGAGGGGAAATACTTTTGTAGCTGCTATTCTTCCTAAGCCATTTTAGGACAGACTAGTCATGTTAATTGACTGTTAATAGAAAGTACATTGGTGGGGTATTCTGAGCTATATAGTTTTAGGAGTGGCAACCCACGAGGTATACTAGAACCTATCTACCTTATGGGAACCCAGCTGTCAAGGGTGAGTGAAGTTGGGGGTGGTTATCCCAGAGGGGGTATTTTATATACATGCATACATACATACATACATACATACCTACATATGTGTATGTCTGTGCATAAATGCATGGAGACATTTGGGCTTGTTTGTGGGTAGCAGAGAAGGAGCCAGTAGATAAGGAAAAGTTGAAGATGAAAGGGGGTAGGGGACAGGATGATTATTAAGAGCAAACTCTTGGAAAAGATGAAAAAGGATGAGATCCAGGGCACAAAGGACTGGTCTTGGCATGGAGAAGGTACACTTCTTCAGAAATTAGATCAAATGAAGAGAGTATTGAAGGGGTTTTTGTTGTGGAATAGGGGGAAAGAGGGGGTTCATCACAGCATTGATATTCTCAGTGAAATAGGGGAAGTGAGTTCTTCTGCTGAAGGAAAATAAGGCTACCTTGTTAGACATCACAGCGAAAGGAAAAAAATAAAGTTGTAACACAAACTCTTATTTTTGTAGTTCTTTAAGACTTACAAAGCTCTTTCTCCACAATAACCCTATAAGATAGGTTAGGTAATCATCTCCATTTTACAGATATGTAAATAGCCTTCATTTCCTCATCAGTAAAATGAGCAGGAGAAGGAAATGGCAAACCACTCCAGTACCTTTGCCAAGAAAATCCCAAATGGGGTTGCGAAGAGTCAGACACAACTGAAACAACTGAACAACAACAAAAAGAGAAGTTCAGTGACCTGACAAATGTTATATAGAGAATAAGTGGAAGAGCTAGATTTTGAACCGAGATATCCCCTCATGTCAGGTCAAGCATATTTCCTTTTTATTTTTAAATTTAATTTAATTTTCAGAGCTGCATTTTCTCTTTCTCATTCTGTCTGACCTCCATTTCTCCTTGCTCCATCCACCAGTTGAGAAAGCAAGAAAAATGAAACCGTGTTAAGAAATATGTATGGTAGGGACAGCTAGATGGTGCAGTGGATAGAGCACTGGCCCTGGATTCAGGAGGACCTGAGTTCAAATCCAGCCTCAGACACATAACACTTACTAGCTGTATATGTATAGTCAAGCAAAATAAATTTTCACTTTGGCCATGTTAAAAAAAATGTCTCAGTTTGTACTCTGGGTCCATCAGCTCTCTATCAGCAGATGGGTAATATGCTTCATCTCAAGTTCTCTGGAATTGTGGTTGGTCATTGTGTTGATCAGAATTCCTGTCTTTCAAAATTGTCTCTATAATACTGATATTATTATATAAATTCCTCACTCAGTTCTGCATCAGTTCATACTAGTCTCCCCATTTTTCTTTGAAACCATCTTCCTTGTTTGGTAGTGCAGGGGATAGAGCACTGGACTTGAAATCAGGAAGATCTGAGTTCAAATCTTGCCTCTGATACTTAATAGCTATGTAACTCTAGGCAAGTCACTTTATCTCTCTCAACCTCAGTTTCCTTATCTATAAAATGGGGATAATAATAGACCTACCTCACCAGGTGGTGAGGATTAAATGAAATAACATGTGTAAACTAGTTTGCAAACCTTAAAATGCTAGCAATTATTAGCAGCAGGAGCAGCAGTATTTCTTATAGCACAGTAGTGTTCTATCAAATAAATATATCATAGCTCATTCACCAATTTAATGGGCACTCCCTTGTTTTCCAGTCCTCTGCCACCATGAAAATAGTCTGTTTTTATATATACGGGTCCTTTTCCTCTTTCTTTGAACTCTTTAGGGTATACATCTAGCAGTGGTATTACTGGTTATGCACAGTTTGGTAACTTTAGGGACATAGTTCTAAATTGCTTTACAAAATGACAAGTCCAAAGCATACTTTAAAAAATGTTTCTTTGAGGCTTCTTGTGGTATCCCCTCAGTACTGAGAGTAGTGGAAAAAATTTCATCTTTAGTCCTCTGGAATCAAGATATTTTATTACATCAACCTAGAATCTGATCTTTTTGTGTTATCTTCTTTTATGTTGTGATCATGTACCTTCTCTTGGTTCTTCACTCTGTTCATGAAATCTTCCTGAGTTTTTCTGCCTTTCTCCTAATTTGCTAGTTCTCAAGGTGTGATCATATTCCATTATATTTACATAACTTCATTAGGTTATTCCTCAATCTATAGATACCTCTTTGTAACCATTTTTTTTTTTGCTACCACAAAAAACTACTTTTGTGGATATTTTGGCAGGTAGGACTTTTTCCTCTGTCTTTGACTTCCTTAGGGTATATGTTTACTAATGATATCATTGAGACAGAAGATATAAACAATTTAGTTATTTTTCTTGAATGATTCCAAATTGTTTTTCACAATGGTTGGACCAGTTCACAGCTCTGCTATCAGATTATTGTTATTTCTGTCTCCCACAGCCCCTTTAATATTGAATGTTTTTTTCTTTTTTATTATCTTTGTCAATTTGTTGGGTATGAGATGAAATTTCAGAGTTATTTTAATTTGCCTTTTTTAAAAAGTAATTTGGAGCATTTTTCCATATAGTTGTTGATAGTTTGAATTTCTTCTTTTGAAAAATGTTAGTTCCTACCCTTTGAGCACTTTTCTAATGGGGAAGGACTCTTGGTCTTATATTCCAGCACATGTTCCACTACAAACAACACTCTGCCTCTACAGAGTAGATTGCAGTGAATCTCTCATTCCTGAATCTTTCCCTCCCAGCTATTTCAGTTGTGCCTTACTGACTGGAGGCTTGCCTGGGCATCACAAAGAGGCTGGTGGCACCCTTCTGTACACATGATTTGCCCCAAGTTGAATTGGAAAAAGAAAGCCATAAAACTTTCATCAAAGGAAACAAACCCTTTAAAAAAAAACCCTTTTCCATCAGGAACACCTCGTATATGGAAACTTTTTGAATTTTATTTAAAAAAAAATTCTAGTGTCCCACTCCCCCACCCCTACATCTCCTCTAAGGGTGGATTACTTTTTCGATAAGTGAGAAACTGGGTATGCATTTAATTTTCCCCCATTTTAAAATTCATTTCTGTACATTGCTTTCAGATGTGTTCAATTTCTTTTCAACCACCTGCTGCTATATGCTTTTAATTTTTGAAGGCATGTTTTTGATATTTGCTTTCTTGGGATGTTAGCATATTTCAGAGAAATTCTCAGGAAAATTTAAAAGCATATTGCCCAAGTTGAAGGATCTCATGGTTGATGACCTAGGGAAGGTAACAATCATTGCTTTGGCCAGCAACTCACAGCTGCTTACTTGCTTAAAGAATTTAGGTTGAGGAATATTGGATTAATGTTTTTCTTTACTTGTTTAAATATATTATATATGAAATATTTATATCTTTATGGCTTCATATCTCTATAACTGACTCAGCAAACTAATAATGAAAAAATGTTAGTAAACTGGTTTCCAGATGATAGCTGTTATTATATGGGGTGGGATGAAGAAGAATGGTTCATATAATAGTAAATAAACTCTTGATTAATGAATAACATTCATAGCTTTGTCCTAGTGATCCCACTACTAAGACTGTATCTAAGGATTTTATTAAAAGAGGAAAATACCCATCAGTATTCAAATTTTCATAATAAATTAGTATTATTATTTTCTACTAGATCTGCAATTTTTATCTCTACCTAATCAACATTTGCTCTGAAACATAGTCTTAGAAAATTTTCAGAGGGCAATCAATGAGAAGTTAAGTGCCTTGCCCAGGGTCACACAACCAGTATATATCAGAGGTAGGACTCTAAGCCAGGTCTTTGTGACTCCAAATTCATCTCTATATTCATAGCTACTTCTTAAATTTACTCATAATAGCAAAAAAAGGAGGGAGGGGATAAATAATCCACGTGTCTAGCACCTAAAGAATGGCTAAATGATTTGTGTTTTTTAAACAAAAATATTATTGTACCATAAAAATGATAAATACAAAGAAATGTGGAATATGAAATTATTTAAACATTTCAAAATCTGAATCAGAACAATAATAAATACACTGACTATATTTATGCAAATGCTAACAGCTATGAAATTGAGAGATTCTTTTGAAATAAACATGATATAATAGAGGCATAACTAACTAACTAGACATAGTTACAAGAGATCTTTGTTCAAATCCAGCATCTCCAACATACTAGTTCTTTGACCATGGGCTAATCATTAAGCCTTTCTGATCTGTTTACTCATCTGCAAAATTATGACAGTAATACTCTGTGATTGATGGATTGACTTTGTTTCATTTTTTTGCCTAGGGACCTATTTCTTCCTATTACGTTCAACGTTATGGGTTCAACTCTGAATGTAAAGTGATAGCCTTCACTGGAGACAATCCAGGTGAGAAGAACATTGTGTGTTTTCAGAAATAGGTGTTTGTGAATGAACATGTCAATCCACAAGAAAAACAAATTGGTAGGACCATTACACATAGTCACCACTTCTTACAATAGTTTTTTCATCTTTTTTCATCATTGTGTTACAAGGTTTGTACCACTGTCCTACTTCCACTGTATTCCATAGACTCATAGAATTAAATCTTATAGGATGCAGGGATCTGATCCAGCCCAAGCTCTTGTCCCATACAGGAATTCCATGTTTAGCATCTTCAATGCTTCATCCACAATCTTCATCCACTGTACACTTGCACATTTGCAGTAAACAGGTAAGGTAGTATTTTCCATTTTGGCTTAGTACGGACTCATGGGTTTTTCCTATATTGAACCAAAATCTGTCTCCCTATGGCTTCCACCTATTGGCCCTCTTTCCACTCTCTAGACACATACGGAATAAGACTACTTTCTCTTCCTCATAATAACCCTTCAAATATTCAGAGATAGCATGTTTTCTCCTAATTATTTCTTCCCTCCAGCAAATATGTGTTTCCTTCATCCATTTCTTTATGACTTACATTCCAGTCCCATCACTGTTTCTAAACTTCATGTAATAAAAGGAACCTTATTTTATTTTTTTTAACATGAATTTTGACTTTTTAAAAAAACTTCTCTCCAGGATCTCATACACCTTGTCCTTTTCTCTGGATTCTCCTTTGCTTCTTGCCCTTTAACTATGGGCAACCTCCAGGACTTAGCTCTCTGATTTTCAAGGGGCAGCTGTTTAAAGTCTAAGAATATGCCCTCTTGCTGTAGCCCTTTGCTTAAGCTCTGGGCTTACAAAAGAGACTTGGTTCGATTCCAGAGGTATCTGAGAAACCACTGAATTTGACCAATGCTGTTAGAGTTTCCTCTGAGAATAGCAATACATTGTCTTGGTCACTGTAGATATTGGTAAAAGACCTCCAGCTCTGACACACACATTCAGCTAGCAACATATTTTAGATAGAGGACAGCCTTTGTTTGAACCCACAGAAAATACACAACATAAAGGATGTATGCTGGTCCATAAACAGTCATGACAATTTTCCTTTCCTCTTCTCTATGTTACACCTTCCTCTAGGGAGGATGCACCTCTCCAGATATATAGTGATATACTTTGTGGTTTGGTCTTCCTACCCTAGAAGGGAATCAAACTTGACATTAAACCTTTCCCTCCACTGAGCCTTTCATGGGAGCTATACAAGTCTTCAGAATTTTATACTGCCCCAAGGTAATATTGGGGTATAATAATTCGGGGACCCCAAAATGGATTTTGGTGTTTGATATTGCCAAAAAGTCAATCCTCTTTTCATCAGAGCTCCACATTCCAAATACTGGAGCAGGTTTTTTGTACCAAAGACCTTATTCTTCCTTTGGCACCAGGCTGTATGCTTGCTCTCTTCTCTACACAAAGCCAGGGCCATTCAGCAACTCCTACTTCTCCCCAGGAGATGCTGTCCAAACAGTCCCTCTTCTCTCTTTTGGATCGCGATCCTTTCAGAATTCAGAGACCGATAGCTGTAGAGCTGGAAGTGACCCCAGAGGCCATCAGGCCAACCCCTCACTTTAAAGATGAAGAGGTGAAAAGATTTGCCTGAGTTCACACAGGTAGTTAGCCTCAGAAGTGGGATTTGAGCTTAGTTCGAAGGCAGGTCAGAGGAACCAGGAGAGTTCTTCTGATGCCAGAGCCAGGGCTCTTTTCCCCATACTATGATCCCCCCACCCATTATTCTTCCACCACAGTGCCAAAACTCCTGCCATCTCTTGGGCCTTGTGGTACAGTAGTTCCCTCCCTTGGGGCCACATAGTTGCCCCCTTTCCATGGCTCTCATCTCCCAGGCTAAGAGGTTTCACCATTTGTGTCTTCCTGTCTGGGTATTGGAACTTAGGATCCAGGAATGATTGCCCCTCACCCACTAGTTATGGGGTGAGCTATTTTTTTTTTTCATTTGTAATTTATTTTCTTTTTAGATTGCGGTACACAGACACAGACAGAGACACACACAGACACTCTTCCTGACCAAAACACTTGTCTTACTCTAACAGTAATCAAGAGGGAGTTGTGTGACAAGGACATTTTAGGGGGTACTTAACAATGATTGAATACCAAGGATAGTCTCTCTCTCTCTCTCTCTCTCTCTCTCTCTCTCTCTCTCTCTCTCTCTCTCTCTCTCTCTCTCACAGCTCATACACCTGCTGGAAAAGATTCAAGGTGAAGGGAGCAGAGAGGAAGAGAGAGAGAGGCTTTACGTTAACCAAACTGGTTCTGATTAGCTCTAAGACATCTCAGGTCTGGGTCACTGAAGCCAAGAGAAAGGTTACCTCAGATCATACAGAGCAGACTTCAGAACCTCAGGGCAAATCTCCTGGGAGATGGCACAGTGGCTGGTGCTGTTTTTCCCAGAAAGGAAGGTACTAGAGGTCAATTCTAAAACAGCAGCAGCAGCAGCAGCAGCAGCAGAGCACAGTCAAAGAGACAGAGTTGTAGCACAGCTCCAGCTGTGTACTAGATGGACGCATGAGTACCGGATGCAATCAAAGGAGAAATTTGGAATTAATATGTCAGATGAATCCCACCTGGCCAGCAGAAGGCAGTGAGCTTGGAGATAGGGATGGAGATTATTCCAGTTCTCAAATAGCCTTATTCTTGACCAACCAAATTTACCTGGATCCTTTACACCTAAACTTATAAAACCTCATGCAGTAATTATACTAAAGAAAATAATAATGGTGATTATAATTATGATGATGATGATGATGATAATAGCTAACATTAATACACCATTTTAAGATTTGCCAAGCACTCTACATATATTATTTAATTTAATTTTCAAAACAACTTGAAGAAATAAGTGCTATTATTATCACTATTTTACAGATGAGAAAACTGAGCCTGGGAAGCTAAGTGACTTGCCCAAGAGTCATATAGCTAGTAAGCATCTGAAAAAGGTTGTGAATTCAGGTCTTCCTGACTTCCAGGCTGGGACTGTGCTGACTGAACCATCTACAATTGATGTTATTCTCAGTGACAGTTGTAGGCCAATCATTTTATGGACACTTGCAACATGTATGTCTCTACCCCATGCAGGGGCTAGGCCTCTGTGTATTAAGTGAGAAGGATTACTCTCATTTTTGGATTATACCAGTGTGAGTTTCATTTTCCCTGGAGAAGTAGTGGAGGTCAGCAAACAGGTAGACCCCATGACTGTACTGTGTCCAGATCCTGTGAACACCTCGGTGATGTCAGTGTTGTTTGGGTCCAAGTCAAGCCTGTTCAAAGTACAGGCAAAACAATGTATGCGGTAAGCCGGGGTTTTGAACACCTCAAAGATCCCTGCTTTCTGGTGAGGAAGCTTATTGCTATTCTGGAACAGTAAACTCCAGAAGCAGGGTTGTATTTTGCCTGATGAGGCAGAGAGATTACTGGTGGAAGAGCATTAAAACAACACTGTACCTTTCACCTCAAGAGTAGATGTAGAAAAATTGGATTATAGTGAGTCTCTAGTACCTACAGAGGAGATGGATCATCTAAGGAACAAACTCACCATGAAGACTAATGTTCTTTGACAGCATAAATGGGACATGTGGTATGCCTAGGAAACAATGAACAGAATCTACCTCAATAACTCCTGACCTTTCTGACATTATTAATGGAAAATTGCCCTTTTTGAGATGGGAAACTAGAGTAATTAGTTAGTCAGTGGTACCATAATGGAGTCCTGCACTCTGTGTGACTCCCTCAGAGGGGTGGTATGGAAGGAGAGTAGAAAGATCTGGATATATGTAGGCCATCAGACTTTGAGAAAAAAAAAACCCAGCTGAATCAAAGCCCCATACCAGAAGCTAAGATGTCTTGGATGGTTGTTTATGAATCCAAATTGTTTCCTGTATTGAACTTATATAGTGACTACTTTCAGATACCTATAAAGAAAGGCAAGGAGAAGGTGGCCTTCATCTGCTCAGTTAGAATTCTACCAGTTTGGAAATATACCCCAAGTAATTTCTTAGGCACCTGCCCCTTTCTAGGGGCACATGGAGAATGTGCTTGATAATGTGAACTGCTTGGAAGTGTTGGCATACATGGAGGGTGCTAATATTCCAAAAGGCATTGGAAGAGCATGAGAAAAGGCTAATGGAAGTGTTCAATCATTTGGAAGATGCTCATCTGGAGCTGCCAATTTATTGATAAGTACCAGTTCTCTAGAGACGAAGTATCAAAAATGTAGCCCTGTGACCCACAAAACTCCTGAGTGTGGCCCAAACCAGATTAAAATGTCATTCGGGAATATTTAACAAAATAAATAAAAATACGATAAAACATAGGTGATATTACAAGAGGGTCCTTAGGTACAGATTAGAAGCCCTCATTTCTATCTGAGTTGGACACCACAGCTTTAGAGCCTCCGTCAGATACATGAGGATCTTCAGGAAGGAAGGACATATTGACTCTAAAAAGATAGAAGTGCTTGTCTCTTGCCAATTGCTGGAGAACTTTTGAGAGTCAAAGACTTTTCTAAGATTTTGCAAGATTCTAGGTGGTGACAACGGATATGGTGATAATGAACTATGTCATCTTCCCTGCATCTTTTATTGATCTGACTCAGGGTTGAGAAGAATTAGAAACAGTTCTTATATTCTGATCAGTGTTAAGGCAGAAAGGGACATTTTTGGTCCGGGGTGGGGAACCTGTGACCCCGAGGCTACATGTGGCCTCTAGGTCCTCAAGTGTAGCTTTGACTGAATCCAAACTCCACAGAACAAATTCTAGGGGATTTGTAGTAGTAGTAATAGCAGCAGCAGCAATAGCAGTAGAAATAGAGCAACAGTAGTAATAGTAGTAGCACTAGCAGCAGCAGCAATAGCAGTAGCAGCAGCAGCAGCAGCAGCAGCAGCAGCAGCAGTAGTAGTAGTAGTAGTAGTAGTAGTAGTAGTAGTAGTAGTAGTAGTAGTAATAGTAGTAGTAGTAGTAGTAGTAGTAGTAGTAGTAATAGTAGTAGTAGTAATAGTAGTAGTAGTAGTACAGCAACAGCAGCAGCAGCAGTAGCAGTAGAAACAGCAGCAACAGCAGCAGCAGCAGCAGCAGGAGCAGCAATAGCAGTAGCAGCAGTAGTAGCAGTAAGGGCTAGCATTTTTATGGCACCTACTGTGTGCTAAGCACTGTGTTTTACAAATATTACCTTATTTCATCCTCCTCATACCCTGTGAGGTAGGTGCTATTATTATTATTCCCATTTTATATTTCAGGGCACTGAGACAGAGATTCAATGACTTGCTCAGGGTTGCACACCTAGTAAATGTCTAAAGCTGAATTTGAACTTGGGTCTTCCTGTCTCCAGGCCCAGTGCTCTATCCACTGGGCCACCTGGCTGACCCTGGTATCCTTAGGGTATATTGACTAGGGATGGGGAGGGGGGGAACGACATAGAGGTGGGGCAGGTCCTCAGGCCCTTTCACCTTCCTGCCAGGATAATGATCCCACTCCAATACCTTTTCTCATGGGAAGGAACCCATAGTCCTTACATTGGCAGAGCCCCTATTTTGGGAAGAAGGTTGGAAGAGAGGCAGACCGTGGAATCTGCTTCCTTCTAGTCCCAGCAGATCAGATCTGGGCTACTGGGCTTGGATGTAAGAAGGAGAAAAAAGATACAGAGCACATGTGGAAGTGTTAGCATTGGCAAGATAGAATACCACTTCATCCTCTGGAGGTAGGAAGGAGTTATGGACTCCACAGATTCATGGCTTTCCTCCATCTCTAAACAAATCATTGAGACCCTTCAGCTTTTTTCTGATGAAATTTCATTTTGAATTGTGGGATTGTTCTATGTTATTTTGTTAGTGCCTCCTCCTTCAGCAAATGAAGGGTCCAAAGTTAGTCACCTAATAGATTCCATTTGGTTGTTCAATAAAAAGAGAACTTGGTTCCTAGTTGTCAGTGCAGGTATATGTGTCTCATTCTGCACAGGCATGCTTCACAGCCTCTCCTCATTCCTCATAGGGGAAAGTCTGTTTGGGTTCCAGGGAGGCAAACTTAAACAATGCTCCTCAATTGCTGCTGCAGTGGAATGAGCCTTCCTTTCCCATTTGTGAGAATTGTTTGTTTCTGAGCCCTTATTTTGCACTTACAGAAGAATTTAATAAATGTCCCTTGTATTGTTCTGTTGATTGTAATAATAATGTGGCTGTGTGCTTATTTATTGATTAAACAAAGGCTTCTCTTTATCTTTTCAGCATCGTTAGCTGGAATGAGACTGGAAGAAGATGACATTGCAGTAAGTGGTTTTTTTTAAAGGAACATTATTCAACTAGTACATGTTCATTCATAAAGAACTCATCACATTTCATTTCTCAAAGCAGGATATTCCCCAAGGGCTTCCCTCTGGATCTCATTCAGACCTAGGGAGTGAGGGGAGGGGCACCAGCACACTGAGGTATCACTTACAGGCTGCCAGGATGTCTTCTAGCATTGCCTCATTGTGTGAAGGAAGGAGAGGTCCTAGAGAAAGAGAGAGAGAGGGAAAAAGGGGGAGAGACAGAGACAGAGAAAGAGGGAGGGAAAGGGAAAAGAAAGGAGGGGGAATATTGGCCTAAATTAGTGTAACGGTCCAGTGAAAAACAATACCCTATTAATTAAGGGAAGCTATTTTCCATTACAAAATGAATAGCCTACAGAATTTCTGGCAGTGTGTCTTCCTAACTTGTGCCTTCTACCTTTTAGTAGCTGTACAGTTTGAGTTATAGAGCTATAGAATATCAGAATCGCAGAACCACGGAACCATAGAATCTCCAAGTACAAAGGGACCATCTGATTCTGAAGCAAAGATTCTTAACATTTTTGTGTCATGGACCCTTTCAGCAGTCTGATGCAGCCTATGGTCCCCTCCTCAGAATAACGTTTTAAATTCATAACATAAAATACCTGGGATTACAAAGGAAATCAATTATGTTAAAATACAGACATCAAAATATGCATTTAAAAATACATACATTCCTGGTCAAGAACCCCAACTCTGTAACATACAGGACTGGGGGCCCTGTAGTCTCTGTTTGGACTGGCAACATTCTATAGTGGAAAGTGCATTTATTCTGAAGTTGGAGAACCTAGGAGCAAGCCCTAACTCTGCTTGCTACCTGTGTGACCTTGGACAAGTCACTTAACCTAATTTCCCTGTGTAAAATGAGGTGGTTGGGCTAGATGGCCGATGAAGCCCCTCCCAGCTCTAAATTAGTGATCTCATGGTATTTAAGGTGAGTTTGCAGCTCTAACGATTCATGAGTTTATATATTTGTGTGTATAGGGCTTCAGGGGCTGAGTAGGGAGAGAATGAAGGAAATAAGGCTACATTTTGTATGGTGAGAAGCTGGGATCACACTTCTATATCTTATTGACTTAAAATGACTTAAGGTGCAGTAATTTTTCACAATGGTCTTAATTTCCTTCCCCATACTTTCTGTGGTAGAAGTTCACTGTTGCTTTAGGTACGCTTTCTTATTACTTAGGTCAGCCTTGGCACCAGCGATACGCTGTTTCTCTGGATCAAGGAGCCAACCCCGGCTTTAGAAGGCCACATCTTCTGCAACCCTGTTAATTCTCAAGAGTACATGGCCCTTTTGTGGTAGGTTGCTTATATTTTATGGTCTGAAAACAGCAGCCTCACTTTCATTGTGGGATTAAATTGTGTTGAAACCTAATGCACAACATCTTTAAGATTAGGAGCGTTGACCAAATGAGTGCCCTCTAAGAATACTTCTAGCCTGTATAGACCCTATAGTCTCATAGAAGGATACAACAGATACAGAAATAACTGGGCTAAAAAATGATGCAATACCCAAGACAGTTACAGAATGTTCATTTGTATCATTTTTTTTCATGTTATCTCAAAAGTCCTAGTGGAATGTCAACTCCTTAAGGACAAGAATATATCTTATTAACTTTATATATTTTTAGAATAGCATTTCCCCCCAATTACATGAAAAATTTTAAACATTTAAAAAAATTTTTTTGAGTTCCAAATTCTTTTCCTCCCTCTCTTCTTTCCCCCATCCATGAGAAGGTAAGCAATCTCATATAGGTCATACATGTTAATGTTATGTATTAAGCCAGTGTCTAATATAGTCCTTTGCATGTATAGGTGCAGAATAACTGTATTTGGAATGACTGAGTGAATAACTAATAACACTCTTGCAGTTTAATGGCCAGAAGCTCTGAGTTTACAGGGACCAAGTTCACTTGTAGAGAAGGTCTCATAAATCACTTTCTTTGGTTTATTTACCCATACCAATGTAGCCCAGCCCAGCCAGATCACACCAGGATGAAATGTGTGAGATCACAGCTAAAAATAGCATTTACAAAATAGGATAGCAAATCAAATTTTTAAAAATTTGAATTAATTAGCAGCATTCTTGGCACTCATACCAAAGGGATTTTTGTTGTCCAGTTATTTTCAGTCATGTACAACTCTTCATGACCCCATTGGGGTTTTCTTGGCAAAGATACTGGAGTGGTTTGCCGTTTCCTTCTCCAGCTCACTTTGCAGATGAGGAAATTAAAGCAAATGGGGTTAAGAGACTTGTTCAGGGTCACACAGATGGTAAGTGTCTGCGACCAGATTTGAACTCAAGAAGAGAAGTCTTCCAGGCCTGGCATGGCACTCTATCCACTGCGCCACCTAGCTGCCCACACCAAATGGGTGTCCCACTCCAAACATCTCTTGGAAATGCCAGTCTCCTCTCCATAGTTAAGCTCCCTTGTGTTTCTAACCTGTCAGGAACATCCAGTCAAACTTACATCACCTCCTGTCCCATCTCACCTTAGCTCTCTATGCTGTATATTTTAGTAGGCACTGGTATTTGTCCACATGTTTGCTATCTACAATTATTCTGCTTCCCCTTGTGGCCTCTGATTGCCCTGCTCTCTCTCTCACCTGTTGTTTTTGGATGCCAATCTCTCCAGTTGTATGCCTTCTGTTCTACCCTCCAGTTTATGTTGTGTCCTCTCAGCTACCCATTTCATTGATTGTATTCTGCTTGACCTATAGTTATGTCATTCATGGCCACCTGAAACTCTTCCACTCGGCCTTCCAGCTTTCAGGACTATGGGCTCATTTTCCTGTAGACATACATTTCTCTTAGGCATTCCAGAAATAAGGAGATTCTAGGGAGAGGTTCCTTACATCCCTCCCAAGACACAAATTTGCAGTCCACACTAATTGCACAAGCATAAGCCATTTAACCTCTCAGCCTCAGGTTCCTCTTCCTATAAAATGGGGATAATATTAACACCGACCTTCCAAGGTAATTGTGAGGATCAGAGTAGGTAATGTATGTAATCTGTAAATCTTAAAGCGCTACATAAACGGTAGCAATCATTGTTGCTGTTTGAAATCACAAAGTGAGTCAGCTGCAGAGCTGAGACTAGAAATCTGGTTTTCTTGGGTAAGTTACTTCATTTTTCTCAGTGTGATTCTCAAGGAGCCCTTCCAGCTCTAAATTGTATACTCTTATGATCCTATCTCTAGGGTTCATCTAGTTGTGCCTTAATATGGTGACATCTGTATTTCCATGTGGCAGAAATTCATGAAATTTATACTCCACATCAGTAATAGATGCTCAATAAACACTTGTTTGATACTAGGCTAGAGAAAATTGGGCTTTACTGGGTTTGAGTGTTTGGAAGAAGAGCTTCTGATTGTGGGGCTCTTTAAGAAGATGCATCTAGGTATTTATATTAATGTTGACCAGCTCTTTGGGAGAAATTAATTTTAAATTTAACAGTTGTCCTTTCTTCTTTTTCCAGCTATAAGAACGGGTCTCTGATGAGAGAGAAGGTCCGAGATGAATCTGCTTCAGGATCCTGGGATGAGTTCTCCACAGCACTACAGTCCACTGAAATTGGAAACTGTGGAAATCTGGGTATGTGTTTTGAGGGAGACAGAACTCCTGGGACTGGTTTGATGGGGCTGCCTTTTCTGAGTTTAAGTGATTCATGTAGAATGTGGAGGACTCAAGAGGACTCTATGGGTCAGGATGAGGGAGACCCAGTAAGTCTGGGTGGCTTTTTCTCTAAGGGTCTTCTTGGTGGTATTCAGTCCAAGGAACTCTAAGGTTCTTCTAATGCGTGGAGGATTTTTCAGTATGATGAGAACAGGATAGAGATGAAGAGCTTTCCTTACTGCTCTTTTTCTCTCTGCATTAGATGAAAGAATTTATTAACAATATATATTAGTTAACAATGGGAAACTCTCTTTCTATACTAAATTAGACCTGTTGGATCACAGCTTGCTAAGCAGGAGTCAGCAGTGAGACTTGGAAGCTGAAAAAACAAATACAATTTTAGAAGTTATAGTTCTATAAAGCCTCTTCTCCCTCACTTAAATCCAATTTACTCGCATGTTATGGCATCACCTCCCAGACGTCACGGTCCTCTTTGAGAACAAAGGACAAACAACAACTCTATTTAGACCATACCGGTAATATTTTGTCCCTAGATGTCACATCTTAGGAAGGACATTGATCAGCTAGAGAACATAGAGAGGAAAGCAAGTGGGTTGTTGAAGGAAGTGGACACCTTGGCATTGTGAGGATATATTGGAAGACATGGGAAGTTTAGCCAGGGGAAGAGAAGACAGGGGAACGTGGCTACTTTTCGTGTGCCGAAGACGATCGAGTGGCAAAAGAGTCTGACTGATGTTCCTTTGCCCCAGAGAGGAGGACTAGGAACCATGGGTGCAAGCTACACAGAGGTTTACTTCATCTCAAGGGATGAACAAACTACCTGATTACGAAAGTGAGCTCAAAGTGGAATGGGCTGCAAGGCAGAGGATTCACTGTCTTAAGCAAAACATAGATGATCACTAAGGGGGGATATGATAGAGACTTTTTAAGCAGGTATGGGATCGGCTGGAAGGCCTCTATCATTCAGCTCTGGGATTTTTGCATTCTATTAATATACCAACCAATAAGTATTTATTAAGTGCCTCCTTTACTCCTGGCACTGTGATAGGGACCTGGGATATAAAGGGGAAAAAACTGAATTGTCACTGTTGCTCCAAGTAAAGTTTTTGAAGGGACACTTGCATATTTGATTCTGTCTTAAAATACATGTGTGATGTGAAAGTCATTGTATTAATGGGAAGTTTCTGTCTTATTTAAGAGGAATGCTTCATTTCATATTTGATTTTCCATCAAGCAGCTGTGTAAGGAATGTAATCTATAGAATTTATAAAATCTCTATTGGAAATTTTATTATTCCTCTCAAAAGGCCTGGTTTCTGAGCATTCAATAGTCAATTCAATTAAAAATATATTTACTTAGCACTTCTGATGTGCAAGATCTATTTTTAGGTGGGAATAGAAGCCAGATTACAAGGGATTGAGTAGTGAGTGGCTGGCGAAAAAGTGGAGACCTCAGTAAAGGCAGACTATTCTTTCTAGAAGTTTGTTGAGGAGGCAACATGGAATAGAAAGACTGCTAGACTGAAAGGCCCCTTGGGCTCAATCTCAAACTGGGATCAAATCTTGGGTCTGCCATTTACTACTTGAGTGATCATGAGCAAGTCATATAACCTTTCTGGGCCTCAGTTTCTTCATCTGTAAAATAAGGCTGTTGGATTAGTTGGCTCTAAATAAGTCTTCTTTGATAGCTTAAAAGATACATGCTCACACACCTTTGGAACAGATTTTTTAAAATTTCTTTTTTTTTTTAGGATAGGAGAAAGCAAAATGTGTTTATTGATGTTAGGGATGGAATCAATCAATGGGGAGATATTAAAAATAGAAGAAAAATAAAGGATAGAAAATCAATGGAGCAAAGTCTTTAAGGATGCATGAAGGGAAGACAACCTGGGCAAGGATGAGAGCACAGCCATTTCTTCTTCAGACAGGGGGGAATGAGAAGAGGAGGGTGAAGAAAGGAATATTGAAAGGGAGAGAATAGAATTTGAGTAAGGAAGCTCAGAGTAGATGACCTGCATCCTCTCAGAATAACCAGTGAAACTATCCACTGAGAGGATCACTGAGGTGGGGGGAATATGTGGAGCAGGGGTTTGAGAAGGAAGGAAGAGGTTTAGAACAGCCATTATAGGAAATTCAATCGGGAATCAATTGGTTTTGAATAAAAGGTATGTGCTATCACTGATTGCATGTCTATTAGCTCTGTAATATGGGAGGTCTTATGGGTTGAGTCATGATCATTCCACCTAGTCTAGTCTATTATATTAGATATAAAGTCAAACATTACCTCCATAACATAACACATTCAGAAAATTAAAAGCCATCTCAGGTTAATTCAAACAATTTATTGTGTTTTCAATCCCAATGATAGTTTGATGGGTCTGGGATTTCATTAGTGAGTATTGCCTCAACCAAGGCAAATCACAAAGCCCTTCTCATCCCATGTAATTCTTTTCCACATTTCCCCATAAATTTCCATAAAAGGCCTAATTTGAGAAGTAAAAGCATTCTTTTTATGTTTAAATCTCTGGTGTATATATGAAACTCTTCTAAAAATGTATCCTCAATCAAGTTTGATTGAATCATTCATTCAATAAACATATATTCAGCATTTACTTTGTCCAGCACTGTGTTAGGTATTAAGAGAAGTTTAAAATAAACAAACAAACAACTGACACATGAAAACCCAGAATCAGAAGAGAAGACAACCATACTTGATTAGAAATTGCATCCAGAAAACCCCCAATGAGTGGTTTTTCAACATTAGGCTGAAGGCTGCTGATGAGAGGGAATCTACCACCTCCCACGGCGGCCTTCCCCACTTTTGGATAGTTCCAATATTTATAAAGTCTTCTCTTTACAGCAAGGTGAATCTTCCTTTTTGGAACTTCCACATGCACACACAAAAGAAACTTCGACTCATTACTTAGTTCTAGTCTCTGAGCCCAGAAAGAACCAACTGAATTTTTTTTCTTCCATATGTCAACCCCTTGGATACTTGAAGATGGCTTTCAGGTCACCCTTAAGCCTTTTCTTCTATGGGCTAACCACCCTTCTCCCTCCAGTAACTTTGACCAGTCTGCTCATGGAATGATCTTAAGGCTTCTCACTATCTTGATCGCTCTCTTTCTATGTTCCACAGCTGACCAATTAGTTAATCAGGTAGAAAGCCTTTTTGAAGTGCCCACTCCATGCCAGATCCTAAGGATAGAAAGTAAAAAATGAAAAAGCCCCTGATCTTGAGGGACTTAAATTCTATTGTGGGAGACAATATGCACACATATAAATATATACAAACTATATACCAAGCAAATACAAGGAAAATTTGGGGACAAGGCCCAACAGCTGGAGGAGCAGGAGAGGTTTCACAGGTAGAGACGCAGTACTTGACCTGAGCATTGAAGGGAGCTAGGGATTGTGTGAGGTGGAGGTGAGGAGGAAATGTGCTCTAGGCATGGGCAACTGACTGTACCAAGATATAGAGATGAGAGATGGAATGTTGTTTATGGGGAACAGAGGAAAGGACAATTTGGCCAGACCATGGAATGTGTGAAGGAAAATGATCTCTAATAATCTCCTTCACAAAATGGGGCCTGACCAGGGTTGAGAATAGCAGAACTGTCACTCCCTCAGGTCGGAGCACTGGGCTTCTCTTAATGTAGCCAATGACTGAATCAGCATTTTTGGCCGCCATGTTACAGGGTTCATTCATGTTTTGTGTGCAGTTTACTACAATTCTTGGATCATTTTCAGAAGAATTGCTGTCTAGCCATTCCTCTCTCTTGTGGTATCCACGAAGCTGGTTTTGTGGAACCCAAGCTTAAAACTTAGCCTTTTTAACTACATGGCCAAACATTCTAGCCTATTGGCCTTTCCTTGGATCCTTACGCCATCCAGCATGTTAACTGTCCCAAGTTTTGTGTCATCTGAAAATTTAATTAGCATGTCATCTATGTCCAAGTCCCTGATAAAAATGTTAAACAGCCCGGATTCAAGGACACATGCCTCCAGACCTTTCTAAGTCTTTCCCTATTAGATTGTAAGCTCCTTGAAGGCAGAGACTATCTTCTTATTTAAATCCCCAGCACTCAGCACATAGTAGGCACTTGATAAGTGTTTGTTGAATTGAATTGTTGAATTGACAAACACATAACTGTCTTCTCTTAGGGTCTCCAGTTTCATAGCCATCTAACTGTATTACAACCCAGACCACATCTCTTCATCTTGTCCGCAAAGATAGCACGAGACCTTGTCAAACACTTTTATGAAATCCAGCTAAACTATATTCATTACTTTAGGAGCCCTCTCAAAAAAAGGAAATGATGGCTTGTCTGGCATGATCTGTTCATGAGGAAGCCATGCTAACTCTTTGTGAAGACCACTTCTTTTTCTAGATGTTTATTAATCATCTCTTAGGGGGCAGCTAGGTGGTACAGGGGATAGAGCACTGGCCCTGGAGTCAGGAGGACCTGAGTTCAAATCCGGCCTCAGACACTTGACAGTTACTAGCTATGTGACCCTGGGCAAGCCACTTAATGCCCATTGCCTCAAAAAACAAACAAACAAAAAAACAACTAATCATTCCTTAGGGGGGTGGGGTGGGATGGGGGTGGAGATTCCATTCTAGGGAAGTATGGAAGACACAAAATAACTACAATATAAGATAAGATGTGAAACAAGGGAGGAATCTCAAAGGAGGGAAAGATGACTTTAGATTGTGGTCCTGGTGGATTAAGGAAGACTTCTTAGAAGAAAGAGGTAGCATTTGAGCTTGGGCTAAAATGGGGACTGAGGAACAGTCCAGGTGGAGCTGCCTGGCACAGGACAAAGAACAGAGGGAACAAAGGAACGTGCACAACATGTTTGGAGAAAGATAAGTCATTAGAGGGTAGTTATTAAATATGAAAAAATATAAAAATAGCCATTTAAGTTTCACCATTCATGCAGCTGGTTTATTGTCAGAAGTTTTCCTGGGCTTATAACTTGAGCAGTTTCTCCAAACCAGCCTGTTTCTACTCATATTCACTTTCTGGGTTTCCAGGACAGGCAGATGTTAAAACGTAGTTGGTGAACATTTACAACGTTCCATTCTGTGACTAAAGGATTAGAGAAGAAAATAGTCCATTCCCTTTGGGGACCTGCAGTCTTCTGCACTTCATGATCGCTCTGGGGCACGGCAGAAATAGGAACAATGGCTGTTCCTTTAATGTGGGCTATGTATACTGGTGAATAATCACTTTTGGCATGAACGCGGTATGGGATATTTGATGTCTGCAGATGTGTGCAATACGTGTTTCCATCATAGTGTGTCTGGAAGATGGTGGTCCCACGTGTCCAGGGCTGTCTAATGCCTTACCTACATGCCATTTATCCATGATATTTTGTGATTTTTTATTCCTGAAAGAAATTCAGAGTAAAGATAGAAATGTTGAAGAGTTATTTACCTGTACCTAAAGAGTTATTGCTTGATTGGGTTTGTGGCCACGGTTCTTAACCTGGGATCCATGAATTTGTTTGTTCTAATATTTTGATAACTGTATATTCAGTATTTTTTGCTTCCTTGTAACTTTTTCCCTTTTTATTTTATGAGTTTAAAATCATGATTCCAAGAAAGAGTTCATAGGCTTCACCAGGCTGTTATGAGAATCTGTGACCCCCAAACAGTTTAGACTTGGCCTTCTTGATCTTGGATGGAGATTACCTTTTTCTTGAGGTCTGACTAATTATTGACACATGTTGGCCCTGCCTTAGGTGGACTGAACATTGTTGTCTGACTTCCCAAAAGAAGGCTTGATTCTGTAATGACAAGATTGCTCATGATGGTGCAGAACCCCCAGAAGGGGGTGTTAGGGAACCAGAAAACAGCCACAGGGGTTGTCTTAGACCACTAAAGAAGCAAAGTCACTGAAAAGAAGTATTTGAAACTGAAGGCTCCAAAGTCCTATCTCAGGCATAACTTGGAGGCAGTGATACTGGCCCTGAATAGTACCTGAAATGCACCTGACATTTTTCCTCTGTGTGTGCATGTATGTGTTCATGTACATGTGTATGTGCATTGCATGAGTGTGCACATGTGCACAGGTGTGTGAAGAAAAGGTCCCAAAATTCCTGAGCCAGTGAAAGGTTTTTTTTTTTAACTTTCTACCACCAAACACATCCCACGGGCCAGGCTAAAGTGGCTGCACTGCATCTTGCCTAGCAAAGCCAGCTACGTGCTGAGCAACTCCCTACTTTACTAACTACTGCTCTCATTGGACAATGTGAATGGTTTTTCCAGGAGCTCAAGGAGACTTTAGACACCACCTTTAGAGTCAAGATGGCTAATCACTAGATTTGCCAGCTCTAACAGAGACCGTAACTCCTGAGAGAGTATACCGAATCCTCTGGACTCTGTATCAGGACTTTATGGGGAACCCTGGAATTTTCTCAGAATATTGGAGTGAATCAGATGGCCTGTGGAAGAGGAGAAATATCAGTATGTGTTTTTAATACAGTTGAGGTAGAGAAGTCCCTCTTCTCTTCCCCCCAGGCCATTCAGCTGTGCCATCAGCAAGGTTCTGGCAACTTTGGATCTGTGAGCCTATGATCAATCCCTTACATTTAGTGCCACCACCACCACTACCTCCTCCTCCCCCTAGTCACTGGTATCCTCCAGGAGTACTTGAGCCCTCCAGAAACCATACTACATGGACAGAAGTAGCCCTGAATTTAAGAGGGTGTCTCCAGTTTATATCCCTCTTGAATCTCATCCCAAATCTAGGCTTGATTCCCATCAGAATATTGAATCCTTCTGGAGACACCAGAGAGAATGCCCATGTATCAATAAAACACAGGGGTCAGATGCCAAGTTACTGAGAAAAAGGGAGAAGCCGGATTACCAAGTGTCTGATGATTTTGGGGAAGCCACCACTTTGGAATAGCACAGGAAAGATGTGGACTTCATTTTTCCTGCTCCATTCCAATTTGCCATTTTTCTAGGATCAAAAAGAAATTCATCTCTTGGTTTTTCGACTATGCAAAAACTAATCTTTTCTTGGTCCTGTTTTAGGTTTTTATTTTGATGTGATGGAAATTACTCCAGAGACCACTGGGCGACACAGGTTTAATGCAGACAATCAGAAGGTACAGACCAGTGTTTTTAATTTCCCTACATCACTTACCCTAAAATCATTCTTAACAATATTATGTACTTGATTTTGATTGAATTATCTACTAAACTCTGCTGTTTTAACAGGCTTACAGGCCTCTGCAACCATTTTCTGTAATTTTAAGGTTTTTTTCCCCCTAAGCAAAGATTCTGTATAATTGGATACAATGTAGCATGTTTAAATATCAAGTACATAGATATTGACAGATAGATAAATGATACATATAGGTAGAAGATGGAGGATAGATATAGAAAGGTTATAGATAGAGGATAGATATAGATAGGTAATAGATAGATGATAGATACAGAGAGGATAGTCAATGATATAGATAGATAATAGATACGTGAGAGATGATATAAGAGGATGAGAGGATAAATGGATAATGATGTAGATAGATGATAGATATAGATAGGATAGACAGATGATATTGAAGACAGATCAGTGATAGACGTAGATAAAAGATACATTATAACTGATAGGTAGAGATAGAGGTAGATATATAGATAATAGATATGTGATAGTTGATGTAGATAGATAATATATAATAGATATAGATAGATAGTAAATACATAATGAATGGATGATAGCTATAGATAGAGGATAAATAGATGATGGATATAGATAAATAGGTAGAGAATAGGTAGGTAGATAGGTAGGTGGGAAGGTAGGTAGATAAGGCACTTATTAAGCCCTTGGTAGTTGCTAGGTACTCTGAAAGCACTGGGCATACATATGAGCAAGAATACAGTCCCTGCTCTCAAGAAGCTCTCATATAATAGGAGAAGACAACACATAAAGGGATGTTGGAAAGGTAGGGAGATCCACAAGGTGGCATAGTGAGGAGACAATGGCATGAAGATTTGGACCTTGATAAAATAAGACAAAAGCTCATCTATCAGGACTGGGGGAACTGAGGAGCTGAGTCCTGGGTTCCACTAGAAAGGAAAGGAGGAGGATGGGCTGACACCAGACAGCATGGTGAAGAGAAGGGAGGGGAGGAGAGAACACTAAAGGGGAGAGGAGAAGAGGAGAGGGAAGGAGGAGAGGGGAGGAAAAGAGAGGAGAGTAATGGGGAGGGGAGGAGAGAAGGGAGAAAAGGAAAGGGGAGGGGAGGGCAATACTGTCAACTTTAATTACAAAGAATCAGTCGATTTTCTCTGAATTGATTCAGGGCTTAGCACAATGCTAGGCACTTAGTAAGTGGTCAGAAATACTTTTTGAATTAAATTGGATCTCCATAGTCAAAGAGGACTTACTTTTAAGAAATGGTGCAAAAGCTATCCCAGGGATACCTAATCAGAAAAAGAGGCAGGTTCTTTACGCAGTGAGAGTGAGGGCTAAAAGATGCACAGCCAAAATGCTCATACTGGTACCCACAACATTCCCCAAGAGAGTTGTAGAGGAAGGCTGTAGGAGGTTGGGTGGAGCCTTTGGGGAAGATTTATAAGATACAGAAAGCCAAGAAGTGGATGGATTGCAGTCTCCACCAACAGAGTAAGCACTCCTTAAATCAGAGATCACAGTGTCATTGACATAAAAAGCTGTGAAATAGTGCCCTGTATGTACTCAGGGACTTGACAGATGTTTATGCACTCGATAAATGCGTAGGAAATGTCAGTACATAATACTAAATATAATACTTTGTTTGTATTAGATTTTATGCTTTATAATACTTAATTATCAAATTTTTTAAAAAGCTTTACTTGAAAGTAAAATGACAATTCAATTTTCTCCCCAGGGACAAACATCAGATTTGGTTATCACTGCTCATAATGAAAAGATAGACATTTGTGTGTAAATTTGCTCGTATATCAGATTTCTGTCCTTTACTTTTCCCCAAAGGAGAAGTTATTTCTGAGGCAAATTCTATAATAACTGTTGGTGCTGGAGTATAAACATTAGAGATTTTTCATTTGGCAATAGAAACTTTCATGTGCCAGTTTGGAGGGTTAGGCAGAGATTTGGACTATACTTTGTTATTTAGTGCCCAGAAGTAGTGTGTTTGTGTGTATGTGTGAGGGAGAGGTGGGGAGAAGGGGGGGGAAAGGGGGGGGTATCTGGCTAAGTTGTGAACTTGGGTGGTGATTATGGACTGCAGAACTATGTTTATTGTACTCTTTTTTTTAAAATTCAAACAAACTTAGTGGTAGGAAAAACTTTATTTCTTTTATTTCTTTTCTAATACAGGTATTAAACTTTCCCAGAAAGATGGAGATCCGAGCTTTGATTGAAGGACAGTTCATGGCCAAAAGGATTCATGCTGAAAAGCTAGGCTATAGAGTTGGTAAGTGTGATTGTGGAAGGTTCTGGAGGCTGCTCATAAGATAACAAAGTAGTCTTTTCTAAAAAAGAAACAATTGATTTGGCTTTGTCTGAAGGGGGGAAAAAAGCCATTTCTTTTATAGGGACCATGAGAAAAATCCCAGTGGCCTGAGTCTTCATGAGCTGGGCCATATTCTGAACTTAAGGAGCTTACGTTCTAACAGTGGTAGGGATGGGAGTAAAGTACAGCCCATACACATATAAGTATCATATAAAATAAATTGAGAAGGGGGAGAGATAACAATTTGGGGGTGGAGTGGGGAGGATCATGGAAGTCATGGAGGAAATTGTATCTGGGCTAAGACTTGAAAGAAGAGAAGAATTCAGTGAGGTAGGGATGAACAGTAGTGCATATCATAGAGTTGGAAGAAAACTTGTGCAAACGCATATAGGTGAGAGATGGAATATCAACTCTAGGAAGTAGTTTGGAGTCCAGTTTGTCTGGAGCACAGGGTGCACAAAGGGGAATAGCAGGAAATAAGAGCATATATTTGATAATATTGACACCTATGATCAAAAGCAACCTATGATTTCACATGTTTATTGTTTTAAGTGACTTTATTTTTCTATATGCATGCAAATGATAAATCAGCATAAAAAAGGGGCCAAGTTACTCTGAAATTCTTGTCTTCCAGACTGATAAAAACAACTGTATTACTTTAGCCAAAAAATAACTAGTACAATTATGTCATATCATCTCTACCCCCACCCTTCCAACCTTGGAAATATTTCTTTTGCAAAATAATTCAGGCTTGCTGGTACTCTTAGCAGGTTAAAAATAAATTTTTTCCTTTAAATTTGGAGGATGAAATTTAATGGGATGGCTATAAATGTCTGTGAAAGAGCCTGTTATAGTGGATCGAAGAGGTACAGTTTCACTAATCTAAAGCATGATGTGGGAGACAGGAAGCTTGACCTGGAGGTGGGAGTCCTGAATTCAAATCACATTTGCTGGCTACGAAAGGCTAGAGAAATATAATTGTGATCTTAGTTTTGGTTAATTGTGCTGTTTTCTTATTTTAACATATTTTAAGTGGAACAAAGAAGAATTTAACAGAAAAACTCTCATTGTCTTGGGATTTTAGATGTTCATATTAATCTTCTTCAGAAATGAGCTTTAAAAAAGAACAATTTTCAGTCATTTAAGCTTAAGGTTTTGGATTTTGAGCCAAAGTGTAAAGAACCCATTTTGAACCTCTGCAAGCACAAAGGACAGTTATCAAACAAATCTTCATTTAAAAAGCAACTGAAAAACATATCTCTGTGATTTCTGAGAAGGCATAACAAGTAGAAAATGTTAACTTTCCCCAGCAATCTCCAGAAAACATTCCTCGTTGAAAATTGTCGCCACATGCTAGTCTTTCGGGGCTTGATGATTTCAGGCTTTAGATTAAATTAGGAGCTAGCATCGCTCCAGGTGCATTTGGGCCAATTTGTAGGTCCCAGGCTGGACAATGATCAGAAGTAAACAGTGCTCACCAAGCATCTTAAATGCTGGTTAAACTGATTTTTGTGAAAAGCAAGCCATTTGGAAAGGGAGAAAATTAAATCAGCCATTTGTATCAAAACATACAATTTCAAAGATTTTTTCCCCAGTAAATTGATGGGTTTTTTCAAAATTGATTTAGTCAATTGACAAAACCTAACTAGAGTTGGCTTAAACACTAGGATTCCTCATGCCCTAATACAATGCTGAACCAAAGAATCAGGTCATTCAGAAAAGTGTCCAATTGAATTTTTTAGCAAATTGTGTCAATGATCTATCTGATCTTTTCTGTAGATATAGTCTTAGAGATAATGCCTGAAGCCATCAGGCGTAAATGTTCTGAAAAGCAGAAGTCAATTAAATGAGCCGTAATTAAGCACCTACTATGTGCAGCATGAATAACTACTTGTCCTCAAAGAGCATACAGTTATCTCTTTCACAATGCTGAGGACTGGGGCACAGAGCCCCCATGATCTGAAAAATCCATAAAAATTTTTGGCCCTCTTTTCATATCAGAGAAGAAGTCTTTATTATTATGATATTAAAAGATAAAATATGTTGATATTATACAATATTATACATACATTTTATGCATTTTTCAGTTTCTAAACTTTTTTATTAATTTATTTTAAACTTAAATACACAATAAGAAAAGAAAAAGAAACATTGTAAACTTAAATACAAAATAAGAAAAGAAAAAAAAGCATTGTAAACTTTTTATGTGTCATGTCACCTGTGAGTTCTTCAAGACTCCCCCCAAATTCCCATCTAATTTCTTGTGCCAACTCGCGACATAGCGAAACCGCAATTGAAAAGTCACGATGTAGAAGGGATAACTGTACATTCTACTAGGGAGACAACTATATATACATAGATAATAAGTAAATATAGAATAGAGAACCTGGATTCTGGTTTGAACAAATGCCTTCTCAGCCATATGAAGAGTTTATATAGTCAGCACTGAGTATTCCTGTGAGAGGGCACTTTGAGAACATGAAGTGCCACACAAATGTTTAATAGTAATAAGGAATTTACCAGATTCACTAATGCAAAAACTCTTCTCCTTGGTTTATTTCTCTACCAGTTGAAAATAAATGTGAGCATTCCCGGTGGAATTGCCCTTTATTCTATTCATATTCTATTTTTAAAAGTTGTATTGATATCTTTAGTTTTTATGTCACGTTCATTTCTGCTGACTAACCTCTCCCTCCCACCTACTTTCCAGAATAAAACCCTCCCTTCTAATAATAAAAAAGCTACTCAGCAAAAAACAGCCCATATAGTGACTGGCTTGATGTATGACACTACCCTCATAGTGCCCCTCCTCTCTATTGAGAAGAGAGAAATATATTTTATTACATGCTTTTTCTGTTCTTGTGCAGTCTTGAAACATTATCACAGCTTTGAATTTCTATGCATTGTAAACATCCAAGGTCATTTTGCTCCTTTTGTTGGAACATAAGGAACATAACAGCTCTTCTGCTTGGCATATGTGGCTCACAGCAGTCCCAGTTCACATCGGACTCATCCAATCCCTATGGCAGGCAGGTTTTCTCTTACATTGTGCATCTCTATTGGAATACCACTTTTATGTTTTGGGATGAATTGATCTGCCATTGCAAACAACCCATCCATTTAGTACAACATCTGGTTTCCTTTTACCCTCTGCAAATTTGATGAACATACTCTCTGCGCCTTTATCTAAGTCACTGATGAAAATGTTAAACAGCACGGAGCCAAGCCTAGATCCCTAGGGCACTCCTCAGGAGACCTCCTGAACCCTTCATTCAGTTCTGAATCCATCTGACCATATTACATCCTTATCTCTCCATCTTCTCCACAAACACAGAACTAGATATTTTATCAAAAGATTTGCTTAAATCTAGGTAAACTACAGTTGTACTGTAGCATTTCTTTCATTCATTAGTCTAGTTATCCTGTCAAAAAAGGAAATGAGGTTAGTTTGGCATAACCTGTTTTTGATGAAGCAATGTTGGCTGATTGTAATCACTACTTTCTTCTTTCTATGTCTACCAACCATCTCTTTCATGATTCATTCTAGAATTTCCACAGGAATCAAAGTGAAGCTCATTGACTTCCAGCTTGCAGGCTATTCTCTTTTCTTTTGTTGAAAATCAGGACGTTTGTCCTTTGTTGATCTTCTGTCTTCCATGATCTTTCACATATCACTGACAGCTGTTCAGCAATCTCATCAGCCAGCTATTTGATGCAGTGCACTTAGGCCAAGTGACTTGAATTCATCAAGGGCGGTGAGGTTCTCTTACTAGCACCTTACTTATCTTGGCTATCAACTCCCAGTTGGTCATTTTTGTTCCACCGTTTCTAACGTTCATTCCCCTTTACAAAGAAAACAGAAACAAAATGAGGTTTTGTTTTTCATTGTTTTCTTTAAAAAATTGCTCAGTGGGGAGGGCAAGTAAGGAGCAGTGGGAGAGAAAAATAACAAATGCTTGTAAAAATAATTTTTAAAAGATTTAAACAATTCTGCTTTTTCTCTTTTGTCAGTTACAATTGTCTGATCCATTCCGGGCTAAGATCCTGTTTCTTCTTTGGTCCTCCTTTTTCTCCCAATATGACTTAATAAGCATTTTTTGTTGTCCTTAGCTTCCCTCAACAGTCTTAGCTCATTCTTTAGCATTCCTGACATTCTTTTTATAGGACTATGCCACACTTATATTCATCTTCTGTTTTCTGGCCTCATTTCCATCTTCTACATGTTTCTTTTAAAAAATCTAAGTTGAGTGGTATATTCTACATGCATTCTCATCAGTCTCTTCAAACAAATTCTACTTTCCCTCCTCACTAGAACTTTTCCCTTTGTATCTTCAGAATTTCATTCTTGAGCATCTCCCATCTCTCTTGGACTTTTACTCCATGGGATCCTTCCTATCATTCCCTCTCAATTCTTTGAAATGTGCTTGCCCCAAATCTAGGATTCGTGTCAGAATTTGGCTAGATTTCTTCTCTTTTTCTATCACAAACTCCAGGATGAAATGATCATTTCCCCCTAGCATTCCCCTTATTTGCACTCCAGCAACCAGTTTCTCCCTGTTAGTGAGAATCAGATTCAGAATAGAATTTCCTCCTTGTAGGTTTCTCATCTTTTGAAGACAGGTCCAGAACTAATTACCTTTTCTGCTTTTAAGTGGGGGGAAAGGAGAGAGAATGAGAGAGAGAAAGAGAGAGAGAGAGAGAGAGAGAGAGAGAGAGAGAGAAGAGAGAGAGAGAGAGAGAGAGAGAGAGAAAATGTGTTCTAGCAGATATCTGGATAATTGAAATCCCTCATCACTACCATCTCACGTCTCTTTGTCAGACTTGTGATCTGTTTTCCAAACTTTTCATGTATTTCCTCTTTCTGTCTAGGTGATCTGTAATATGCTCCAGTGACAAAATCCCTTCTATTTTTCCCTTTTTTGACCTGCACCCAAACAGTCTGCTTCCTACTTTCTGCCTTT